ATCCGCAGTCCAGGAAGTTCCGTCTCGTGAGGTTGGATAGATACAAAGCTTCGGGGTCTTCGGGGTCTCGAGCTCGGCTGCAAGAAGACTCTTTGGAGCCCAGCATGCACAGCATGCGTGCGGCAGTGCACGTTGCAACAAAGCATTCTGTACTTGGGAACCTCATGTGGCACGGCTTTGTGCTCAAGGAGAGTGCATTGCCAGCTCCACAACTCTGCATCCGACAAAATTCCGCCTGTGCACGCAAGGCCGTAGAAAGGCAACTGGGCTTCCACCACGATGCCGGCCACCTGCACTACCCTAGCTCGCTGAGCTGGTGTGCTGCCACATCGCACTAGGGCCTTGCATGGCCGAGGTGCATACTGTGCAAGCTCTATCAACGGCAGACTGTCACGGGAAGTCCGCCTCCGTGTGGCTCTTTTCGGGCACTCGGGTTACGGCAACCACCGCACTTCTGGGGGCAATGCATCTGTGCAGTGCTCCGCTGGCAAAACAAGTCAAGCTGCAATGCATGGAAAGCATCTGTTCTGGACGCACAGCAGCGGAAGGGACTGGACTAGCCGCGTGAATTTCCCGCTCCAAGCAGCCAGCCTGTCACAGCCTGTGACAGACAACTTGCAAGAGAAAGCCCATTTGGGCTTCGTCAGCAAGGCCTCGAACCCCCTCTCTATGCCACTCAGCTTCAGCATTTTCAGTAGCTTTGTGCACCCAGCACCACAGCAGCTTGCTGCTTCTGTCACAGTCTCTGAAAGCAATTGCTCACATGGCTTGTGGGCTTTGCATGGCTTTGCAAAGCTTCGCAGGGCTGCGCGGGCTGTTATGTGCCTTCAGCTGAAAAGAGCTACAGCGCAAGGAAATGAAGGGAAGGCCTTGCCTGCAGTTGCAAGAAAAAGAATTGCCCCCACAGTTCCGCCCTCAGCCGCTCAGCACGCATAGCGTAGCCGGCGTAGCTGGCGCAGCTGCGGTTTAACCGAAAGCTGGGCCATTCGAAGATGCGAAGAACGATGCGGCCGGAAGCGCTTCAAGAAGCGTCAGCTTTTTTGCCCGTCTCCTCGCTTGGCCCCAGCCTCGGTCGGAAGTTTCCCAAGATCTTCGCATCTCTTCGCTCTCTCCCTCCCCCTTGCTCCAGGCTCTTCAGGAATCTGAGTTGTTCCGGAGCCGAGTTTCTGAGGACCTGCACCGAACTGGAACCACATTTCACTGAGGGAAACGAGCTCACAATGGTGTTAGGGTCGAACGAACCTGAGCATGCGCTATGGAGACCTGGAGCATTATGAATCTCTGTTTAACCCATTGAAAGAGGGCTGAGTTTTCGAGTGCACCAAGTGATTCCCATGGATTTGGCCAGGTGTAGCCGGGAGCCTTCAAGCATCGTTTTGATTTGGGGAACGGCGTGTGAGCGCGAACGACCGGCAAGGATTCCGGAAACAATCAAGTTCGACCAAAGGTTGCAAGGCAACTTTTTTGGAAACTGTTTAGTCCGGGAGGTGAAGAATTACACCACGATCCCAAAACGTTTCCACATGAAAGGAAGACAACCATCGATAATCCCGGCACTGGCCACCCACCCGGCGAAACGTCGACGTTCCCTCTTGTACGTTCGGGGGCCAACCTGAAGTGACTTGGCATGTACAGCGCCTGCTTCTCTCCCTGTCCTCAGGCTGCGGCTTCAGGCACGTCTCGAAGTCCGCTGCGAAGGCTCAGCGCTTCGCAGGGACCCCTAGGCTCTCTGCAAAAACGGCCTCAGAGGCAACGGTGAGACGGGGAGTCAGGCAAAGGAAGAGAAAGAGAAGGGAAGCGAGGTCCCCGCTGCCAGAAAACGCGGATGCACGTTCCGAGGAAACGAACAACGAAGCGCCTGTGCCGGAGTTGGATAGAAACACAAAGCAACGACTGCCAGAAATCAAGATCGGTTTTCTTACAGGCACCTGTCACCGAGCAGTGGATCTCACTGGAATCACTGACCTGAGAGCAGCACATGTTTCTGTTCGGGTTCAAGCTCTCAGCCTCACGTGTGACTTTCTCGAACTTTCGGGCCCCCCCTCCCCCCAGGCTTCAACCAAGCAAAGCTGACAAAGCTGGGCCGCTTTCGGAAAAATCGCGGGATCGCCTCATCCGCACCTCGACAGCTTCAAGGGGTCAAAGGCCCAAAGAAACGATTCGACTTCACTTCGCAGTCTCCGGCCTCTCTCGTGGCCTGTCGAGGTGCTGCTACCACCGAGCCAATACCTTTTCGAAACCTTTCTCCAATCCCATCTTCAAGACCAGCACGATCCTCGCAACAGGCGTGTGGGCACACACATGCACACAAACACTCCTGTCCTTTCTCACTGACAGCCGGTCCCTGTCTCTCTTTCTGCTTATTTCATCTGGGCGTGGGGGTCCGCTCAAGCCCCTCTCTCTCTCTTCTCTTCTCTCTCGTCTCTTCTCTTCTCTCCTCTCGTCTCGTCTCGTCTCTTCTCGTGTCTTCTCTCTCGTCTCTTCTCTTCTCTTCTCTTCTCTTCTCTCCTCTCGTCTTGTCTCATCTCTTATCTCCGCTCCTCTCCTCTCTTCTCTTCCCCCGGGCATGAGGGACTGGCCCCATAACACATGGGGGGCCCATGAGGCATCCCTTCTCTCTCTGTCTCTCTCTCCACCTTGCTTCGAAAGAGGGGGCCCAATGCTTTTCGGCGGCCGAGGCTCCTCGTGAGCTGAAGCTGCGAGTGGCTTTGTATCAGAGTCCATGGAAGACTCCTTGGCACCGGCATCCTGGACATCGGCTCCACATCTCCTCTGAGCTTCGCCTTCAGCAAAACTTGAATAAGATTTGGAGGCTTTCGAGAGCCGAAAGGGCAGGAACTCAGCAAACACCGAAGAAGCTTGCTTGACAGCTTGCCAGTCATCTTACTCCTGTTTGTGCTGCATTTGCTGCGTGCAGCGACCCGCCTTTTTCCTGTTTACCACTCGTGGCGAACTGATTTGAGGCTTCAGCTGGGAGCAGCAATTCATCGGGCAATCTGCTCGGTGCTCAGAGTAGCACAGTTGCCTGAAAGAACATTATCAATCAGCGATTCCCCTCACTTACTGAAGGACTTCATCTGGCCGAGCTATGGTTGGAGACGTGGTTGAAGAGCCTTGCGCACATGTATTGTCTGTCAGGGGATTCGTGATTCTGGTTCACCTGAGATCAGGAGCTAAGGGTTCGTTATCTTTTCGATGAGAAAGCATACCAGGATGGAGATTAAAAAACAAACTTGCCCCAGTTTTGGGTGGCACAGGTTCTGGATGCAGAGTGTGCCTGCGACTCTTCACTCGGGGCCATGCCCCGAGTGATGGAAAGTTTCAAATCTTTCCGCAACGAGGCCGTCTGCGCACGCGGCATTGGCCACTCTGTGCTCGCACTGAAGGTCACTTTTGTGCCTGTCACATCTTCCGTGCGTTTTCTTGCAGCTTAACACCTTCGGTGCGAGCAATGCATCAACATGCCCGGACATGAAGGAAAAGCTATCTGCTTTTGCTACAGCTAGCTCATGTTGTGCCAGGTGCATTAACCAATGAGAAAAATCAATCATGCGTACTCTCAACGCCGGCCCCCTGAAGGGCACCCGGGTAAATGCTTCTTTACCCAGCGCCAGGTCAGGTTGATCCGAGGCTCCTGGCACGGAGGAGGCCGCAGGGCCGCTACTTCCATAGTTTTCAAACCACAATTAGCCGTCTTAGCCCCGATGTTGCCTTCGTCCCTTCGCGCGGGACGCGGTGCTGGAAGTGCTTCTGCGTCATTCCCTGCAGCTGAAAAGGGTAAAATAGCACTTCATCCTAGCGTCGACGGTGAGACTTAGCCACAAGCCTACAGTCCGCGATGACACTCTCATGCCAGCAGTCAGTCATTGATTCGCAAACTGCCGCCTCCATAGTGAGAAGATCACCTCCGCGGAGCGTCAGCCGTGTGATCTGCGCTTCCTCTTCCTGTAGAAGCGGTAAGGCATCTGAGAACCACCGGCTCTGCGGTGCACTTGGTGGCAGTTCTATCATATGTATTCTCATCACCAGCGAACCCTGGATCTGTGAAAAACATGCTGCGTGCACAATCCACGTCCTAAATCTTTGGTTGCAGTGCAAAAGCCTTGCCGACAGTACACCAACTAGGCTTTGAGCAACGGGAGCTTTGCAAAGGGCCGAAGGGAAAAATCCGCGAATTCCTCGCCAGTGGCCCGTACCCTAAGTAACTCACAGCCTCACAGCATTGATTGTACCGGCATGCCAGAAGACAAAGCTTCTGTCGGTATGATTAATCGTGAGTCGTGGCTTTACCCCTGCCTCGGGCCAGTTGAGCCGCAACTCGAACTTCCGAGTCGCACCCAACGACAGCGAGATGATCCTGCGGGCTTGGACTTGTTGGAGCATAGGCGTCAGTTCCGAAAGTTTCTGGGTATCATGCTGTTGCCGAAGCACTGGTGCATAAAAGGCTTGATCGCACTCCTCTTGCTGTTCGCTCACATCCTTGAGCCATCCGAGTGGGAGGCATCAGCTCGTGCACCTGGGGTCACCTCATGGACTTTGTCAGGCTGTCTGCGACCATGGTCTTCGTCTCGATCTAGACGGCTTCCGTGGTGGAGCCGATCGGAGGGTGGTCGTCGTAAAATGTCGTAAAGTGGGTCTTCCACTTCCTTTCCTGGTCGCCTCCAGACCATCTGCCGTAGTAGTCTATGGCCAGCCTCTTGTCCCCCCGACCGTGTGAAGCCCGGCTTGGTGGAGGTGCTCTTCCAGACTGCGGCAGTCCGTCATCATGTAGATCGTCTTGTGGTCCATGGCCTTCACCAGCAGAAGTCCTCGTCGTCGAAGTGGAGGCCGTAGAGGATGGCGCGTCAGTGCTTAGCCTTTTCATGGCCCTAAATCATTGACAGGGTTTCTGCTTGGAGGGTGCTCCGGCATACTCGTCGGATCATTGGAGTGGTAGCCCACGATATGCCCACGATGTAGGTGGTCCCTTCCACAGTGTGTCGCTGGGATCTCCTAGCAGAAGAAATCTTCCACTTGGGGGATGGGTCAATACCCCGTGTTGTCGCGGGGCCCCACCCCCCCTCTGTTACAAACCCTTGTCGCGCCGGCTTTGTTTCAAACATTTGTCGCGCGGCAATGCCACATGATGGACCTTGTCGCGCCAGCCTTGTCGCAAAAAACCCATTTTTGTTACAAACTTTGTCGCGCAAGGGGCGCCCCGGCCCTGTTACAAACCAGAAGGTTTTGACCCCAACCCGTAACTTTGGCTTCGGTGTCCCAGCAGCTTTCCCTCATTTGTGGAGACGTCGTAGTCATTGGCATGGGAGGCGTCGGTCACGGAGTGGATCTGCATGTTCTCAAACTTCATCGCCTCGTACTTGTAGAAGATGCCGAGGTCACGCGTCTTCTTCACATAGCTCAGCACCTGGTTGCACGTACACAGGTTACACCGTGGCCTGAGCCATGATCGTCTGCAGGCGGTGCACACTGTAGGCGATGTCGGGTCGGCATACCATGGTCACCCAGTTCAGACTGCCGACGATGCTGCGGAGCTGGCTTATCTCCTGCGGCGTTGCTGTCGCACCTTTCAGTGTCGAGGTTGACGCCACGTACCTTGGAAGCCGTGTTGGGGCAGGTGACCTTAATCCGTGCAAGGGCTTCCCCTTGGTGGATTGTTCTCCCACACCGTGATGTCGCCTCCATGCAGTCGGTACTTCCCGCTCGAGGCAAAGCTGACGCTCACACTCAGCATGACTGAGCTGCAGGTTGGCGGGTCCTTGTTCCCTTATGCGGGGCTTGTAGCGGGGCGTTTCCCACCCCAACGACGAGAAGGCGAGTGGGGAGCATGACAGAGGTCAGAGGAGCAGAATGGAAGAACTGGCAAGGCTTTGAAGCAGTCGATGTACTATCGCCTGCCCAAGCCACACAGTTGCTCCAGGACAAGCCGGACGTGCCACAGATTTCTTGCAGACTCGACGGGCCAGGAAGGCATAGAAGGATCGCTCCATACCGGGTGGCCCGGCTTCTCCAGCACGCTGGGCGAAGGCCTGCCGGGCGGCGTTGCTGATCTTGGAGCTGCCTGGCAAAGCACTGGCTCCATCTTCGATTTGCTGGTGCACGCCGAGGTAGTGGTCGGCGTCGAAGTTGTTGGTGAGGGCGTCCGTCTCGATCGAGAGGCGTCCTAGAACCCATCGGGAAGGAGTGAAGCCGCCATGGTGGATCGGCTTGTTCTTCACGCTAGCCGCTTCAATGGCCAGCATCTCCCTAGACTCCACTCCGTGCAACTGCCGCCATCCAAAGCCGGTGTCTCGAGTTCCCGGCGCACTTGGGCGAGATCCCAGACATTGCTTTTCCAAGGGTGCTCAAGTAGGAATTGCCGTCCTCGCTCAACACGGTCGCGGGCCAATTTGAAGATCCACTTGATGTTTGGAAGCTCGCTTCGGCGTTCCTCCATCACGTGTTTCCAGGGCCTCCCCTGAGACACCTCTCCTCCCCCGACGGTTCCAATTGCTCCGTTGTGGCAGCAGGCAATCACATAGGGATCGTCCCGGGCAATTTGCCGTTCTGCTTCTTGCCGCCCGGTCTGGTCCGCAGGTCCAGGCGTCCAGCTCGGAGGTACAGCGGCTCGGAGAGGGGCATGTCGTAGTCGATCGCTGCCATGTCTATCAGCAGCGCGGCACCCGCCTTTGGCAGGATGCTGTGGCTGTGGCGTCTTAGGAGAGAGCTGAGAGCTGGTTCCACAGGTGACCTCCTTGATCGCGGCATCAAACACTGGCGGAGGCTCTCGTTCAAGGTCCTCCCCCGAAGGCTGTCTACGGGCAAACAGGCATTGACAACAGCGGCATTGAGAAGTTCCCGGGCCAAGCGCAACTTGCCACCTATGCCTCGTAGTCCTGCGCCGTGGCCTGGCTCCAACAGCGGCGTCTCCTACTTCGTGGCCATGACATAGTTCTGGAACCACTGCTCGCCATGTCATGTTTGACTGCACACTGTGTCCAAGATGGCGACCAGCGGCGACCAGATCCTGCGGTCAGGGTTCTCGTGGTTGTGGTCGTTGCTGTGGTCATCTTGCTCGGTATGGGTCATGAAGACGAGACGGTCAGTCTCCTCTTCGGTAAGGAGGTAAGGAGGGATCGCTCAAGGTAGAGGTTGTCCACAAAGAACCTCCCAAAGTCGCGGTGTGCTCGGGGCTCCTTCCCCTGGTGGTTGGACACGAACCAGAGGCGGTAGTCCTCGTTTCCGCAGGCCTCCAAGCAGGTCTTCCCTGGGTGCTTGCCGAAGTTGATGATGGTGGCGCCTCTCACCTTCACCCGGCCCTCTCGCGCCCAGCCCAGGTCCATGGGGCCCTCATAACCGTCAATCCACGCACGTCGTCATGCGGATGTCGCCGTTGCTTATGCGCCAGTGCATGGGTGGTGTGGGCACGTCTTTCGGCTTGGTTGTCCCGCGGACCGGTGACGTCCCGGCGAGTTTCCTCGTCCTTGCACTTCCTGATGGAGAAGTACTGGTTGGAGCCGTGGGCGGCGACATTCAGGTGCTTGCACGGGGTCGCCCCCGATGGTGTCGGCCTTGTCCCGCAATAAGTTGTAGGTCCAGTTGCAGCCTTGTGGAGGTAGGGCCGCCTTTGTTGAGGAGGCATTGCCTTCGACTCCTTCATGTTCCCCAGCCCAACGCATTGATGAGCATTGCCATGTCCTCGTCGGCGTCAGGGGGCGGTGCAGCCAAGATGCCGAGGGTGCTGGGGCTGCCACCTCTTGGGTCGAGAGCTGTAGGGTCAGGCCATCCAGGTTCGTGGCGGTAGCTAAAGAGCTCGGTGGTGGTGCGTGTAATTGATCTCGGGTGTGGTAGTGGATCCGGTCCAAGAGTGCGGAAGGCAAGGTAGATGTTGTTCTCCTGGGTCGGCACCGCTCCCTCGTTGATCGTGAAGTGGGCCGTGCGGGGCTTCGTGCCGGAGTTGCCTCTCCCGGCGGGTTTTCCTTTGGCGTGCGCAGCTCCTTTTCCAAAGCACCCGGAAGTAGAGGTCGAAGGGAGCGGGCCTTGGTCGCATCACCTTTTCCACGTCCCATGCTCATAGGACATACGGAGTCTCCGCTCCAGTGCCCGGTGGCACCGCACTTGCGGCAAATAGTCCTCGCCTATGGAAAAGCTGCCGCTCACTTCGAAGGGTGGTGACCGTAGTGCAGCGTGTCCCTTCTGTGCTCCAGCTTGTCGGGCCATGTAGGCTTCTCCTCGACCTGGATGATGTTCGCGGCATAGTAACAGGCCTTGTCGCTATTGATGTCCAGCTTGGTCGCTGAGGTAGGCCAGGTGCTCCTCCGCAAACGTACCGGCCTGGTGTTCCTCGCAGGCCGTCGCTTGCGTAACCGAGGTGGGCGACGGGCTGCTCATATTCATCCTCGCCGCCGTCCATGTAGTTCCCTCTCCTGCTCATAGTCATACTCGCCGAAGAAAGCTTGGCGATCTTGGAAGGGTCGTCGGGCCAAAACTCCTGCCTTCGGCGGCCACCTTGTAAAAGGTGAGCTTCTCGCCCACGATGGTGCACATGAGCAGGAGGTGGTCCTCGGAGATGCCGCTGTTCGCCAGCAACTGCTCGGCCAAGACCAGCTCGGGGAGCGCCAGCTCGCCGTTCATGTCCAGCATCACACGGTACCATGCGCGGCATCATAGGATGTGCTGCGGCATAGTCTCGCTGCCCTGCCTGGCCAACATGCCTCCTTGATGGGCTCCTGCTTCATAAAGTTCTCTGGCCTGCTGCCGGCTTCTGGGGTGGAGCTCGGTGGCCAACTTCTCCACGAGGTAGTCGGCTCCGCCTTCCTTCTCCAACTCGTCTAGAGACAGCAGCTGAGCGATTTGCAGTGCGGGACCGGTGAGGCCTTCCAGAAGGCGCAGCCCCAAAAGGCCAAGTTCCTCTTGCTTCTCCTTGGTCATCGCCTTCTCTCTTCGCTGTTTCGCTCTCACACGAAACTGCCACTGTGAAAACCTGGTGGGGTCCCCGCTGAAGCGGGTGATGTTTCCGTCGGTCCGGTTCGAGCCGAAAGCCCATTGTGCTCTTCCTCTTGGAGGAAGCGCGGAAGCGGAGTGCCTCCAAGAGGCTGCCTCCAAAAGGCTTCCTGCCATAGCAGAACTCAAAGGGAGGTTCCTGGAGCTTTCGCAGCTCCGCTACCAGTGCCGAAGCATTGGTGCATAAACGGCTTGATCGCACTCCTTTTGCTGTGCGCTCACGCATCCTTGAGCAATCCGAGTGGCGGTCGCAAGCAGGCTGAGTTCACCAAGCGGGCTGTACATGTCTAGTCATGGCAACGGCGTGATTTAGCATCTGCTTTCACAGCTGTCCTGCAGTCGCGAAACCGACCTTGAAACAGCTTCTCGTCGTCAGCGTGCCAGCCTGACCGGTCACGGATTCGTTATGTTGCATGCAGGTATGGTTTCGCGTGCTGCCTATGCATCCGTGCTCAAAGCTCGTTTCGAGAAGGACACTGGACAAAAAATCTGCAAAAACCTTTCAGCAATGATCAGGGTGCCCAGCAACCGGCAGATGAGAACACAAGGGCAACGGACAGGAACAAACTCTCCGTTCGCACGATTGTGAAACTGGCTAGGCCGAATGCGGGTTTGTAAGGATGTTGTAGGGATCTTTCCGTTCAGAAACTGTCTGCAGTCAGAAACATGGAGCCATGGGGAAAGGCCTGGTTTCGACTTGATTGAGTTCATGAGTTTGCGAGGCGGCGGGCGCTTGATACGTCTGAGGCACCTCATGCCTCTTACAGAGCTGTCTCGTCCTGAAGCTAGCTTGGAACTGGCTCTGCGTGACATACCAGTTTATGGGACGACTGGTATAGGCGAACGACACACTTGGCAGTCCAACGTCAAAAAGAGTCACGCGAATGTCTGCAACTCTGCATGGCCACGTTGGGTCCTTTGGCAGACTTTTGTGTGTACATTGCTCGCGACCGCTACAGTAGCGTCGATGATGCCATGATGATGCTGGCAGCTGTTGGGTGGTGGTGAAAGCAGCAGCAGCAGGAGGAGGAGGAGGAGGATGAGCAGGAGTAGGAGTAGGAGTAGGA